TGTAGTTGTCTGCAGGCGGCGAAGTCGCAGAGGGATGTGATGTGATTGATGGACAGCGACAGCACCTCAACGTTGGGCAGCCGTCGCACAATCGCCACATCTTTCAATTCGCTTCCCCTGTAATCCACAGTCGTTTAGGAAAACATTTTTCATTAATAAATTATCGCAACAATTATAACACAATAAGTGATAATTCATTGTATATTCTATGGGGTAATCGATTCGGCGCTTAATAATTAAGATATCATAGAAATTTTTACAGCAATTTTTTCACCCACTGATCAACACTTTAATTAAAATAAACTATTTTTCATATCCTATTATAAGACAGTTAACCCTTTTTTCTTTGTAAACCCTATAAACACTAATTATTAAACAAATATGAAAATAAAATAACAAAATCTATATATTAATAGAATGGCATTAAATCGCAAAAATGCTAACTATTTATCATAAAAAGGTTAAAAACCGGATTTCAGTTTTTGATTGATAGTTATATTCATTTTATATAATGCTATAAATATAGTATGCGTTTACAAAACAAGAAATAAATACTACCTTTAAGTGCTAGATATTAATACAATATATCAGTTATTATAAGTCATTATAATTACATTAAGATTAAGGGATTCAATGATAATTAATTTACGACATTAATTGTTGAGACAAATACATGATAAACCATTCAATTAAATGGTTATCTAATAATAGAGATCGACGTCTCAAATGTCATAATATTTTCAAATAGTAATAAATAAATAAAAATCTCATTTCATTATAACTGATATAATATTCATATAAATCTATTGTAAACGTGAATAACATTTGCTTTTATGAATTGATAAGTGCTTTGAATTAAACAATAATTTCATTGCCATTCAAACGAGACATTCATCTGATTATTCAGGAAATATACGAAGAAAAACATGAATCAAAACTAGTATTACATTATATGTGCAGAAATCGGTACTCAAATTATCTCAAAAATACATTAAATATATTTATAATCATTAATGATATCATTAAATATGAGAGGTTTTGAACCAATTCTTCGTATGAAATATAAACCAATAATTATATCAAAATAAACATCGATTTTATCGATCCATTCAAATCACGACTGGATTTAGATATCAAAGTGCGGTTTGCTTTCAAACACAGCGTTAATTAAATGTAATGACAATTAATTAAAATGATTATAATTTATATATTTCTAAATATCACATCAAAACGAGTCCGTGATATACATTACCAACAGTTTAATCGCTTCACTGATCGCAAGTCTTGAGATCGGGTTCGGCTTAAGACCACGTTTTCGGTCAATACAGACATTTCGCCTCTCAATCCAAATCTCCAATCCTTTGATTAAATTGTAATTAAAATGTGAAACCAATTGTCATTTAAACACAACAAATAGACGTCAAAATCAATGACAACAAAACACTTGTAAAAAAATAAAATTATAAACAAATGAATAGACTTTGAAATTATATTGCAATTTGCAATACAAGACATGTATTTATAAATCACACACAAAATGATCGATACTTTAAAACTAAACAAAAATAAATATATTATTATAAAAACTATATATAATTACAAAAATAATATCACAAATCGATTGCCAACTGAAATGTGGTTTCAATATTAAATCAAGTGTTTTGTCGGTTAAAATATATCATTGAATTCACAGCGAAAACCAACACAAATGTTAATCACATATAAAATTACAGCAAAAAATACACACAATTTGTGCACAAAATAAGAGCCAAAATAGTGGTAAAAATGATTAGTTTTTGAGACAAAAATGCAGTGTTTTTTATGATTTTGTTGTGGGCTTTGGTTGTGGGCTATGTCTTGGGCTGTCGTCACCACTAATTGTAAACACAATTTAAAGTGCCATTCAATGCACTCATGAAACCAATAGTGTATTTATAAAACCATATTTAGGTATGACTTTCAGACGCGAAACAAATCCTTGAATTTTGGTTTTGTTTTCACAATTCAATCGTTAAAGAGATGAGAGATTTTCAATACAAAA